GATAAAGAATTTTCACTGTATAGATGAATATTTTTCAGGTATCTTATCACACATTCCTAGTTAAATTTGTAAACAATCTGTTTTATGTTTTGCCATAGTATGTTTTGTGAGTTATTTTACAAAATTGAATTGAATTTATAATAATGATTTGATGGTTGAATTTTGGTGGTCTTTTGGGGGGTATGGTATGACTATAATCCAAGTGCTATATTGATATATAAATGATCCACAAAGTAGATTAAAATTCATAGTTAAACAAAGATGTGTTACCTGTCAGAAACTCTTAAAATTGTTCATCTTTTTTTTTATTTGCTTAAAACAATCAAAGTTGATCCAAATTGTTTTCTGAGATTTCTTGATTGGAAAATAGATTTTTATTTCAAAACATCAGACCAGTATTTAATTCAATCTATTTTTGTTGAAATCTTATAAAACCGTCAAAAGGTTTAAGGGACATATTCTAGTCCTGGTCCAATTGGCCTTGATTTTAGTCTTGGCTCCACCATCATCATTTGGCCTTGGCAAGTATCTTTAAGTTTCTGTTCTCAATTAAGATTTGATCCCAATGATCTAAGGTTCTTCTCAGTTCTTATCGGATCAAGATTTGAACCAATATAAATCTCACAGCTTAAACCAGAGCCTTCTTGAACAGAAAGTTCTGAAAGATTACTAAGATAGTGCCAGTGATGGAATATAATAAACATGGCTTTTCACTGTTATCAATATTGAACTAATACTGCATGGTTCCATGGTGGCTCATGCTGCTGCTAGAGCTATTTGGTTATTAAAAACCTTCTGTATTGGGGGCATTGTGTTTTTTTTCTCCTCTTCTTTTTCATTGACTGTAATTACTTACAATATGATGTTTTTTTGAGTGCTTTCCCCTGGAGTTTCCCCCCGATGATTTATTAATTCTTGGCCTTTACTTTGTTCAAAATGCAGGAATAAATCTTCACTGTCCCTCACGACCTAGTGTAGCATGAATAATTTGAATAGATGTGTTGTCACTTAGAATGATGGGTGGAATTTGAAAAAAGAATCCTAAATTAAATAATGTAGCACTCATTAAGCTCTTTGGTGTAGTAGTAGTATGGTATAGTGCAAATATACTGAAAGAGAATAGAAGTCCCGGCTTGGCCATGTAACAACTATGAAACCTTGAACATAGAATGTCTAAATTAGGAGGCCATCAGTTCGACTCTTACATGTACAGTAATTCCTCCTACAACATTCTTAATAAGTAGTGTTTACTTGAAGACCTTGAGTGAGGGCAAAGCCATAACCTCTGAGGCATCTGAAGGTGCTCGTCCCACTTTTTGGAGTAGTGGGCAGGTCAGATTCACTTGTTTGGACCCAAGTTGCCTCATCTGTAAAGTGAGGAAGTTGGGCTGGTTAACGTCTTTAGATCCCTTCTACCACTGACGTTCTGTGATGCTTTGACTCAAGAATGAGGGTGTTCGTTGTAATAAATTACAACTCAGGTCAGTTGTATTCTGCTTGCTCAATTTGTGGAGAAGTTTTAATAGTGTGCTTTATGTCTTTGTTTTAAAGTTGTTTCATTTTACTCTTTGTTGTTATCTACTTGCTGTTTTTTGCATTGGAAAAGTTAAAAGAAGACAGATAACTTTAGGCCAGTCTTCAGAAGTAGAAGGAGTTAGAAACAGAGGTTGTACCTTCATAGTAATTTGACTGAGTAGTGGTTTAGGGGAGGAAAAGGGCACAGTATTGGGAATCAGGTCAAGTCAAATCAACAAGCATTTGGTGTACACTAGGTGCCAGGCACTAGCATACAAAGAAAGGCAAAACCCCATAATCCTAATGGGGGATGCAAATAACTATATGCATACAATATATACTTAAGTAGAAGTTATTCTCAGAGGGAAGGTGACCTATATAATTGGTCTGGCCCTGCACCATGAGGCAAGTTACTGTTTTTGGCCCTATTTTCCTCAAATGTAAAATGACCAGGAATTGTATTAGATGATATCAAAGGTCCTTGTTTGCTCTAACATTTTGTTGTACTATAATTCTAAGACCATGTCAGATGATGGACCAGTTACTTGGAATAGTACTCAATAGAGTGCAATCACAGATCAACTAAAATATTTTCCCTTTCCCTGCCCACTAAAGTATAGTGTCATTAGAATGACTCCATAATAATGAATTCCAGAGTAAAGTAGAAAATGACTTTTACATTATCTATTTACTATTTTGTCTAATTTGTAACAGTGTTTCCACCCCTAGCACAAGTAGTTAATTATTTAAAGGAATGTGATATTAGTGTCTATACTTTTCTTTCTTGGATTTTATGCCACCTGCGTCTCAGTTTTGGAGGCAATGCTCACGAGATATAGTTTCTCATGTTATATGGCATGGTTGGATAGATATTGTAGTTCTCTGCTGTCAGCAGCTTGATAAAAATACTAGTAGGCAAGTCATATAACATCTCTGAGTTTGTTGTCTTACATAAAATGTATTGGAGATAAGAATGATACAGGAATTTTAAGATTCATTATTATATAGAGAGCGATTTGAGAAGATTAAAGCAAGGAACAGCAGGAATACCAAGTGTTATTACAATCAATCAGCCAATCAACAAGCATTTACTAGCATATGTCAGGTTCTGTGCTAGACAATGGGAACACAAAGAATGAAACAATTCCTACTCTTTTTCTTTTTTTTTTTTTTGGCTAGGCAATGGGGTTAAGTGACTTGCTCAGGGTCACACAGCTAGTAAGTGTTATGTGTCTGAGGCTGAATTTGAATTCAGGTCCTCCTGAATCCAGGGTCAGTACAACAATTCCTACCCTTAAGGAGTGATATATTGTATCATATTATTTTATTCATTCATTTAACAGATACTTATTAAGTACTTATTATTTGCCAAGCATTGTACTAGATAAGCACTGAGGAAGGTACATTAAGAATAGACCCTGTACCTAAGGAGCTTGCAATCTAATGGGAGTATGAGGTGTGTACAGAAGTAAGTATTAAACAAAAAGAATGTGACAAGTGCATAAGAAAAATGCAAATAAAATGCCATGTGAATTCCAAGGAGAGAAAGATCATTTCTGTCTTAGGGAATCAGGGAAGGCTTCATGGAAAAAAAGATATCTTGAGCTGGCCCTTGAATAATGATTAGAATTTCAATGTCATTTAATAACATTGTATATACATATATTAATTCAACAAACATTTATTGGATGTCTACTACACATATAGCAATAGACTGAGCAATTTACAATTGAGTTCCTCATGGCTTGGGAGAAATAGTGGCTTATTTCTTTAATCAGTTCATAAAACTGCAAGTCCAAAAGCTAGTATATTTTATTGGTTACAAACTATCTTAGTTACTGATTTCTTCTTCTTTTTTGTTTTGCAGATCTTGGACAGTCAATATTTTATACAACGACATGTTTGCTACCCTTTCTTAATGATGACATTCTGAGTACTTTGCCCTACACAATGATATCAACATTAGCTACCTTTCCTCCGTTTCTACACAAGGATATTATTGAATATCTTAGCACATCTTTTCTACCCATGGCTATATGTAAGTTCAAGTTCAATCTCAGTCTGATATTATCACATTTTGTAGGGACATGAGACACGTTAACATAAGCTATTAATGAAAATTGTATTTGATGCCATTGGTTACAGGTTTTCAGAAATATAATAGTTACTTCATAGACTGGTCATAACTTAAAGACATAATTTGATATGAATATTATTGTGGTAAAGTTCAAGTGAAAGAATGAATTTTTATAGATTCATATTCTCTCTTTATGTTATAGGGAAAAATAAAACATTATAGAGGATGAATTATTCAAAAATTCCCATTTTACAGATGATGAAAACTTTCTATCATAAAAGTAGAAGCATGCATACCTTCTGAGATACAATAATTCTTACCTTTTGCACCTAAAGGAAGTATGCTAGTGTGTAGAGCATGCTAGATTAAAGTTAGATGATCTGGATTTTAGTCCTAATTCTAATTTGGCATGTGACCTTCAATTCACGAGTAAATCATATAATTTGAGTTTGTTTGTTTGTTTATCTGCAAAATGGGGACTAAGAATATTTAACCTCATAGAGATATCATGATGATAAAAATAAAGGATAGATGTAAAAACCTTTTGGAAAAATTTGAAGTGTTGATACAGATACAAAGTATAGTTATGATTGTGGGGTTAAATTGAATTGTGTTTCATTGCTAAGGATTTAATCTTGCAGGCCCTTCCAGAACATGGACATGAAAAGAAAACTATATTAGGTCTTAACAGTTTTCAAAATTGCAACCTCTCTCTATCTTTAAAAGCCTGGAAATTGATTTGGCTTCACCAAATAACTTTCTTCTCACAGGAAACATGTTTATTGGCCAACTCAAATTCAATCCTTAGGAAAAAAATCATTTTTCATCATTATTTTACCTATCTCATTAGAAATTGCTGCCTGGTTCGTAATTGGTGATTGTGCATAGATATGTTCTATACCAATTCATAATAACATAGGTAATAATTCTACTTATTATTTTAATGTTCTCAAGTTGCTTTCCATATATGTATATATATGTAGCTTCATATGTATATGTATTTGTATACATGTGTATGTATACACACATACATATAGTTCTGTATCCATATTTTTCACTAATTTACGACCCAAAGAGCTAGAAGGGACCTAAGAGGTCATCTAATCCATTTTTTTCCCAAACAAAATCTCTTTGATTTTTGAGTTTCACATATTGGTTAACAAAAGGTTGTATTTCAAGATGTGGCGTGTTCATTTTCTTGTAATTTAGGTTAGAACAGTCTGCTTTTGCCTAAATTATCCAGAGAATTGAGAAATTAGCAGATTGACTGCCTATACTATTAAAATTTATAGCTGACACAGTAACTTATCTTTTCATTCGGTGTGGTATACGTAGTACTATGATGGCATTATATGTCAATGTAATAAAATTAGAAGGGCTTACAATGAATGGCTGAGTGGATCCCACAAGAAAGAATTTATTTCATGAAGGTTGGATAATGACTTGCCATTTTTGTTTGTAAATTTACTTCTTTATTTATTGAAACTGTTTCATTAAGATGCTAATCAAGAAGGGCTTCAGGTGGTGCCATATGACATGAGCTGAAAGAACTGAGACTATTTAGTGTGGAGAAGAGAAGGCTTAAGAAGGATATGACGGCCATCTTCAAGAATTTGAGCATAAGAATCTGAGCACAAAAAAAAGGCAGAAGCCTGTCTGGCTTAAGCCCTATCTCTGTTGAGATTTCTGAATACAGAAACTGCTCCAAATTGTAGAATCATACATAGAATGCTAGAACCAGGAGGGAGCTTAGAAAGCAAGTTCAAACTTCTCATTTTAGAAATGGGGTAAAGCCAGACATGAAAAGAAAATATTAGGTCTTACAGTTTTCAAAATTACAACCTCTCTCTATATTTCTAAAAACCTGGAAATTGATTATCATTTAGCTTCACCAGATAACTTTCTTCTCATAGAAAACATGTTTATTGGCTAACCCAAATTCAATCCTTAGGAAAAAAAATTATTTTTCATCATTATATTACTTACCTCGTTAGAAACTGCTGCCTGGTTAGTAATTGGTGACTATGCATAGATATATTCCATACCAATCCATAATTACATTTGGTAACCAGGTATTTATTCTACTCATTATTTTAATGTTATCTGGAAGAAGGATTAAACTTTGTTCTGTTTTGCCCTAGAGGACAAATCTAGGTTCAATGGATGGACGTTAGAAAGAAACAGATTTAGACTTTGTTTATATCAACAAAGGGAGATAGAAATTTGAGGAAATTATCCAGTTAGCTCTGGTCTAAATACGTCTTACATGAAATATCCTAATAAGGTAAAATATTTTTAAAAAACATCAATTTCCACTTAATTGTTTTGCTCTATAATCTATTGTGCTCATCACGCATTTTGTAAGCTGACACCTAGAACTTTTTGAAGGCATGAGCTAAAACATTTCTGCAGTTAGAAGTAGAGAAAATAGATAAATTTTACTTGAGAATGATTCCAACAGAGCAGGAATAACTTACATTGGCCTACTATAGATAAAGAAGAGCTGGTCTGTAGACCTGGATTCTAGTCTTAGCTTGAGACTGGATTCTGCTGTTTGCTGTGTGACTTTCACAGGTCACATTCAGCTCATCTGGGATTCTATATCCTCAACTATAAACAGAGGGGGTTAGACTAAACCATCATCCTGGTATAATGAAAAGAGGACTGGTTTTAGAGCCATAATACCTGAACTCAAATTTTGCCTCTTAATATGCCACTTAATATCTGCGAGATCCTAAGCAAGTTATTATTCTTTGAACCTCAGTTTCTTTAGCTATAAAATGAGAGGCTTGGATCAGTTGACCACTAAGGTCATGGTCAGCTCTAAAGAGAGTAGAGGTAGCTAGGTGGTGCAGTGGGTAGAGCACTGGATCTGGAGTCAGGAAGACATCTTTCTGAGTTCAAATCTGGCCTTAGATGCTTACTAGTTGTGTGGCCCTAGAAAAGTTGTTTAACTTAGTTTCCTCCTCTGTAAAATGAGTTGGAGAAGGAAATAGCAAAACACTCCAGTATCTTTGCCAAGAAAGCCCCAAATGGGGGTCATAAAGAGGTGGACAAGACTGAAAAAATGACTAAATAACAACAAATGGAAGAGTTAAGTGATCTGGTTTCAAATCTCATCTCTGTGACCACTCCTCTGAGTTTTGGTTTTCCCATCTGTAAAATAGTGATAATTGCACCACTTACCTTATATGTTGGTTGTGAGGAAAGTATTTTGTTAATCTTTAAGAACCATTTAAAAGTGAGCTGCTATCTGGTATTAGTTGTGTGATTCTGGACAAGTCATCTCATTTCTCTGGGCTTGCATTACTCTGCCTGTGAAATGAGGGACTAGAAAATATCTAAGGTTCCTTCTGGCTCTAAAACCCCGTGATGATATTTTGATTTTATTAATTTATCTGTAAAAAACTTGTCTGTGCATAACTTTCCCTTTTCCTGTAATTAAGATTCAGCCCTCCACATCAATAGTGCGTATCTCTATGTTAATCAAATATCCTTCTTTAGATCTAACTGAAGTAGTTTGACAATTGGCATTCATTCCATTGGTTTTTAAGATCTTTGAAAATGTTCTGTTGAGCCATTGATAGGGTCAAACTGTGAGGAGCTGACTCCTCATACATCTGTCACATTTGCTGTTTCACAGCCCAGGCAGTTATACAAAGACCTAGACAAAAAGGGAAAAAGGAATCCTACAACAGAAATCCTGCTAGAATTGGAGATTGGGATTGAAGTTAGGAGAGTCGTGGGTGGGGTAATAAAGGGGAACATGTGCTCAATAGAAGTTTTGACAGAAATAGGAGATTAATATTTTATTTTCTTATGAATCTTTTGAGACCAAAGGCAGCAAGAGGCAATATGGGAAAGTGGCAAGAGCCCTGGATCAGAATTCATAATGATAATAATAGCTCCTATTTCTATAGCACTTTAGGTATATAAGAAGGCATGCAGAGGACAAAGGGCTTGTCTATGGTGCTGAGAGATAGCATGGTACACTAGAAAGAGCCTTGGTATTAGAGATAAAAGACCTATGTCTTTTATGTTCATGTCCCAACTCTAAAACCCTAAAACTCACTGCCTGTTTACTTGTGGTTACCTGTGAAGGTAACCAAGTTGTTTACTTTCTATAAGCCTCAGTTCCCTCATTTGTAAAATGTAGATGAGAAGCAACATGGCATAGCACATAGAGGGCTGGTCTTGGAGACAGGGAGACTGAAATTCAAGTCTTACATTTGATAGATAATAACTGTGTTATTATGGATAGGTCCTTTACCTTCTCAAGGCCCAAGTCAATCCTCTTAAGTTTGTAAGTTGTAGACTCACAGACTAGTGCCAATCTGAACCAGTGGGGTAAGTTTCTATATCAGGGTAAAATCATAGGTCTCCCTGTCTCCCTCAATGGTGATTATGAGATGTAGTTTACTTGATGGAATTATTTGAGGTTAACTGTTTTGCAAACTTTAGAGCTCTACAGAAATGTGAACCTTGATTCAAGATTTGATCTTGAACTCTGAGTAATCTTGGGCATAGCCTTCTCCATCTCTCTGGATTTTACCCCATTTCTTAAATGAGAAGTTTGAATTTGCTTTCTAAGCTCCCTCCTGGCTCTAGGAACAGGTTCTATATTCAGAAATCTCAATAGAGAAAGGGCTTAAGCCGGATAGGCTTCTGCCTCATTTTTGTGATGTTCCCAAGGCCAATATAAGGATGGCTAATTTCTCAGATGTTGTAAGAATGCACCCTTATGGGCCCAAAGTGTGAAAGTCTGCCTTTTAGAGTGGATCTAATAAGTTACTGGCAGCCCTTGAAAGTTAAAGAGGACAATAGTGGTAAGTCCTCAATGCCATCCTGCTTCAGATACCAGGTGCTATGATTTTACTAGTTAATAACTTCTTTTGAGTTTCTGGAGGGCAACATTTGGTTCATTTTTAAAATCAGATTTGCCTTTTATGTCAGCCTTTTCAATTTCTCTCTCCCATATGTGACATGTATAAACATATATGTATGTATATATTTGTATACACACATATACACATTATATGTATATATGTATGTATGTATATATTTGTATATACCCATACACACATATGTACATATTATATGTGTGTGTGTTATAAAATTGGCTAAGGACTGAAAATCATTTGCATTCTACCCAGGAAACCTTTCTTTCTGCAAGAGTTGACTCTAGGATTTGTAGATACCTTTGAAATATGTGTGCTTGGGGATGTACTTTGGCAGAGAAGCTTACCAATTGTATCCAAGCTAAAATTTATTGGTGGACACTACCTTCCTTCTTTTAAGTATATTCATGGAGGCAAGCTATTTTGCAAAGGATCATGTCTTCCAGATTTATTTTCTAAGAATACAGCCTTCCTTAGAATTTTGGGGTCTCTGTAGTCTCATTATTTCTCTTTTGCAATCCTAGATTCCCTTAGGATGTCACTCAACCTCAGAAAACAGACTTAGTTGTGTCTTAAATCTTAACTGTTATTGTAACGGCAATATGAATCTTCTTTGGTGTATGAATGGTTGGGGCATTCAGGACTGAGGAGTTCTAGGTTATTGTTACACTAACTGTATTCATCCAGTCTAACATGGTAGTAGAAAGCATGCTAGACTTGGAATCAGGAGAATTGGGGCTTGACATTTCTTAGATTAATTATGTGATTATGGGTAGACATTTAAATGCCTTGGCTTTCTCATCTGTGAAATGGGTACATTAATATCACCTCCAGAACTGTTGTGGACAAGGTAGGGAGGGAGGAAGAGAGAGAGACAGAGACAGAGAGAGAGAGACAGAGAGACAGAGAGAGAAAGAGAGAAAGAGAGAGAGAGAGAAGAAATATATTTTGAATAATTTTTTTTCCTTGCTGTTTATGTTCATGGCTATATTCAGTCTCATGGGTACAGACTTCACATCTGTTTACATCATACCTTTTCAAAAACTAAATTCAATAAATAATGTGTGCTTGTGCATATTTACTAAATTAAAGATGAGCTGTTTCTATTCAGTGTGTTAGAAGATCCTTCAGGTACTTTCTTTTTTATACATCATCAGTGTCAATTTCCCAGAGCTTTGGCAAGGGGAAGGTTCTTAATTTTGTGATTTGACCACACTTTAGAGAAAGCATAGATCAATAGTGATAGAAAGGACAGCCTTCTTTGGTATCCTGTGTCATCCTTACTTTGAGCTGGTTTAGAACAAAAGTGAAGGCACTCCCAAATAGCAGCATGACAGAAAATATTTGAATTTTCCCCCTTGGGTCAGTCTGAAAAGCAGGTTGGTGTAGTGGAAAGATCCCCAGACCAATAAATAAGAAGAAATGGATTCAAGTCCTGCCTCTGCTACTTACTGGCCCCTTGGGCTAGTCACTTAGTTTCTCTGCACATCACTTTTCTCATCTGTAAAATGGGGACAATCATAACTGCTCTATTCTTTTTACAGACTTACCGTATGGAAAGTATTTTATAAACTGGAAAGTGCTTTGCCAGCATGAGCTATTAGCATTTTTTTCTAGAAGGAGTATAGCAACAATATAGTCTTATACCCCTCCAAATTCTTTCAGAGGTCCTCAATTACCAAATACAAACCTAAACATACATCTTCAAGATATTCTTCCAGCTTTTTCCATGCTGTTTAATATAATTCAGGTCTAATATTGCAATATCTACATCTTCTGTGCTAGACAGACAGATCTAAGTTCTACCCATTGTGTGTGATTTGTTCTTCTTCTCAAGTTGCTCTCTGTGCTTGGAACAATATCACATCAAGTTAGCCATTGTTGACTATGTAAAGTATAAACGTCAAGATGATGGTGGCTCAAAGGTGTTCTACTTGTTGGCTGGGGGTTGCCGTGTTTAGAACCGACACTTAAGGTTCCTTGCCACAGCAAATTTCTGATCTTAGTAAATAGAAGTGGAGTGGTTCCACTCACTGGTTAGGGTCTGATCCAAGGTTCCGTTCAGGGAGTTGTTGAGAGTGGAGTGACAATGCCAAAGAAGATAGCAAAAGCAGGAGTTGGAAGGTTTGGGTTGGTTTGGTTCACAGGAATTAAAGATGGAAACACAGAGCTAGAGGAAGCAGTCAGAGTCAGGAAAGCCAGAGTAAATCAGGAATTCTGGGAACACAACTTAATGACCCTTTGGCCTACTGTTCCTATGTTCTGATGGAGTGCCCTTTTACAGCCGAGCTGCATTTGTTAGCCATGCTCCCCTCTGATTATTAAAGAGGTGAGGCCTTCAGATGCCAGGATTCACACAAAAAACTTGCTTTCCATTTCTTCTTTAGTTCCTTTAGGATTTGGCTCTTCAAAAATGCCCTCCGTAATTAGCTAAACCAATCTAACATTCATTGTACCGTATCTAAATGGTCTTATATTTTTGTTTACGTCATCAACCAAACCATAAACATTTTTGGAGAACTGACAGCGCAGAATACTGCTTGTATGTGTTGGTTTTACATCATCATACTTGATGATCCTTTCTCCTTTCTTCCCTCCCTCCCTTCCTCCCTTGCTTCCTTCCTTCCTTCCTTTCTTATTTATTTTGCAGAGCACTAGGGAAATACAAAATTTACATCAGACGCAATCCTTGCCCTCATGGAACTTAAAAGTCAGTTAGCATGCCTTGTGCAAAATTGTAAATAAAGGTACATTGTATTGTGTCTAATCTAAAAATATTTATTTCCAGTGGGCTCATCCAGGAGAGAAGGTGTTCCTGCACATGTTAATCTCTCGGCATCTTCCATGTTAATGATAGCAATGCAGTACACATCAAACCCAGGTAAGTAGAGTGTAGGCTCCTTCCACTTCTCTCAAAGGCTTGGAGTTCTAAGTCCATTTCAAAAACAATTATCAAATACTCTTATGATTCTGAACAGGCTGTGAATTCTCATTATGAGAAAGGCTTCTTTTGGTGGACTAGAGAGATGTTAGGAAACCTATTGGAAAACAGGCTTTAGAATCAAAATAGAATTTTCTCTAGCCTCCTTGTGGAGGCGAGAAAAAAACTTGCTGTCTCATGATGCTTTCAGAATGATTAAAAACAAGCTTTCACTGAAAATATGTGAGTAGAAATAGACACATATATTCACATTAGAATGAAGTTTATTAACCTAGTGGTTAATAGATTTGTATCTAGTGTACTTTTTGCATAGGCATATTTGCAAGTGAATGCTGGAAAATGACTTTAAAGAGCAAACTGTTCTGACTCACATCCTAAACTTGTTAAATCAGTTTTTATTTGATTTTTTTATTTATGAGGAAAAGAAAAATTCTGTGGTGGAGTACCCAGCTTTTAACCTCAGATTTTATGATTATTCTCTTCAAGTATTCTTAGATGTAAAAAAATAAGGTCCTCCAATGAATAGTGTAAAACTTTCATAAAAACATATTAGGCTAAGGCATGATTTTCCATATATCACTCTATCCAGTGTAGAAGATAAACAAGATAAAGTTCAGATTTGTTACATTTCTTATTAGTCTGTAAAGAAACCTGATCTGAGGTCTACTCAAGCAAGGTCCAATTTTAATATTTTAGTATTAATGAATACTCTCTACCTTTTATTTTCTGTGCATCATATAAATAAACATATTTGGTTTTCTCTGCATCATATAAATAAATACTCACCATTGTGAGTATGGGTGGCCTCCAAATCTGTTGCCTCATTTGTTACTGGGGAAAACCCACATCATGTACTTTGTCCTAGCCTATAAAAGTAATCCCTTCATTTTATAATGATGGAACTGAGACTCAGAGAATAAAGGGCCTTGCTCATGATCACACACTTAGTAAGTGGCAGAGTAGAAACTCAGGTTTTCTGAATCCAAGTGCATTGCTTTCTACCATACTGGGCTTCTTGTTGAGGAATTCTCAAAGAATAAAACAATTCCTCCTAAGGATTCTCTGGCACAACTGAGGTCATTTAAATTTACTATAGGAATAGCAAATGGTAGCCTCATTGTAACTAATAGTCTGGTCTTGTAACTTATGGCATGAAATTCTTCTCTTACTATTATTCAATCTGCACATGGTAATTGAACTATGCCTAATATATTGTATTAGGCACTATAGGGAATAAAAAAAAATAAAGACACTGGCACTGCCTTCAGGTAACTTCACAGTTTAGTTCAGGAGGCAAAACATAGTCATGGTGGTATGAGATGTTTGCCAACTGAATTGAAACTAAGAGCAAACAGGGGTTGGGACTTCAAAGAAGGATAGCCCACTTTGGGCTAGAGCAGTCAGGGAAGTCTTCAGTTTGAATCTCTTAATGTATTCTATGAAGACTCTTCTTTTTTTTTCCCAGTTATTTCTTGACTTTCTTTAAATCTAGGTGATATACACTATATTGTGATTCTTGGGAGTTCCTTAAGTTCTACTTTGTTAATGTGATAAATTAAATGTTTCTAGTAGATACTAGAAGAAAGACCTAGGAACTCCAAAGCCATTTCTATTCTTTGGAACTTGACAAAATAAAAATGAATTTTTTTCTAATGCCAACTGTGGAATAGTGAGTTTATCCTTGGCCTGACAGTTTGGAGACTCAGTTTTGAATCTCAGCTTTGCCAGTAACTTACTTTGTGATGTTGGCGCAGTCATTTGACTTTTCTTGGTATTAGGCCCTCCTCTGTAAAATGAGAAGGTTGAATTACATAATTGTTAGGTCTCTTTCCAGTTCTGATGTTTTATGTTACAATTTTCTCAAGTTCTTTCTAGCCATGAACATGACTAATTCATTGATTAATTTTAGTTGTAAAGCCTATTATTATTGTATCCACAAGCATTTTTTATATGTTAACAAGTTAATTTTATGTTAAAATTGCATTTTCCTTCTTCTAGTGTATCATTGCCAGTTATTGGAATGCCTCATGAAATATAAGCAAGAAGTCTGGAAAGTAAGTTTGGACCAAACGTAGCTGGTAGATGCAAATTGAACTTGCATAACATTGTGAAAGACGATTGACAAATATAAGTTATTGCGCAGGTCAAATACATCAAAATCCTATCTCCTGATGTGACAGTGCCTATAATTCTCCCCTTGGTAGTGAATCTATTTATTAGTTGGAACAGAAATGATGCTTTAAGAACAGTGTGCTGACAGAATTAGTTGATGAACATGTCTTCATTCTGGGAATTAGTTTATTCCTATTTCTCTTATATTTTCAGATGACAAATTATTTAATTTAAATAAAAAAATTTGCCTGAGTCATTTTTTCAAAACAGATGTGCTTTTTAAAGATGACATATATGTAGCCTGAATCCTTCTAGAATATTAGTCTCTGTGGAACAGAATTTGGTATAAGATGAGACCCACTCAGACCTTACATTAAGAATTTTTGTTTAAGTCTGAAGGACTTTGTTGTAAGATGGTCTCACTTATAAGACAGGCCCACAGTGCATTCTTTGGGGTGTTTTACTATGGAACTCTAGTAATATGATTTCTACATATTTTTATTGCTTAACTTACTATAAAATCTAATAATATTTCCCTAGTAATGTTGAATGACCATGGCACCTTTATGTTCTGTGATGCTAAGTTAATTTTCTCTTTCTCTTTAGGATTTGCTATATGTAATAGCATATGGACCTTCTCAAGTGAAACCTCCAGCTGTGCAGATGCTCTTTCACTATTGGCCCAATTTAAAACCTCCAGGGGCCATAAGTGAGTACAGGGGATTGCAGTACACAGGTAAGAGCACAACCTAGTGAGAGAAATGGTTCAAGTAGTCATTCATGCCACAAGCAGGGCCATATGCAAGCACTTGTAGGCATCCAGAAATAATGATGGAGCACCCCAAGATGTAAGTTACCGAGAATGGTAAGGACTTCCACCTGGGACCTAGATGTCCCTAAAGGGGACAGTAGCCCCAAATGTTCTACTGGGGTTTTGGCCCTGGTCACAGACTCCTTGTATGACAAGTGATAGCTGACACTTGCGTAGGAGGCCATTGTAGTATAGTGGAAAGAACACTGGTAGTTAGGAGTACTTGGGTTCAAATCCTGACTCTAACACTTATTAGCTGTGTGACCCTGGGCAAGTTACTTGACTTCTCTGAGCCTCAGCCTTCTCATCTTTAAGGTAGTGACAATAATACCTGTACTACATACTTCAGAGAGTTGTGAAGAAAGTGATTTGTAAACCTTAAAGTATTATATAAAAGAAACCTATGGTGCTCTAGACTACCAAATATAAGTGCTGCTTGCTAGGTGTTTTCAAAGATATATTGTTTTGGTCACGAAGGTCCCATTTAATGTACTGAGATGGTTATACAGAGGTGGGTAGAGCAGAAGTTAATATCCACTTGTTCCCAACCCTCTCAGCAGGTACTGTTTTCTTCAAGTATTTGAAGTGCTGTAATATCAAGGGATTAGAGTTGTTCTCCTTGATCCAAAAGGGAAGAATCAATGGGTGAAAATTGCATGAGCAGATGTTGGCTTCTTAAGGATCAGAGCTTTTCAAAAGTGGAAAAGACTCCTTCAGAAAGTAGTCATTTCTTTATCCTTGGAAGTCATTAAGCAGAGGATGGATGGATGGCCTTTTGTCAGGAAAGCTATCAAGGGAATTCTTGCTCAGATATGGTTTGGGTTAGATGGCCATTGAGGTCTCATCTGACTCAGACATTTTCTGATTTTATTGATTCAGCCCCCAATGGTTGATCAGGGTTTGTCTGTACTGATTCCTACTTTGATCACATGAGTCTTAAAAATACTGATGGGTGGCATGGGCATTCAAGCATTGCTGAAGTCCCCAACTGTCTCAGCAGTAATACTCACATCATAAAAAAAACCAAAAACATTTCTTAGAGTTATTACTGAGGATGAGGTGATCTCTTTGGGTAACAGCTCTTAGAAAATTATGTAAAATGATCCATTTTAAAATTGTATAATATATTTACAACCTGGCATCTTTTTAAGAATGCTAAAAATCAATTATAGATAATAAAATCATTATTGTGAATGATAAGTACAAGTGGATTTTCAATTCCAAGGAAATTATGAGCATTTATTAAGTGCTTACTATGACCCTAGTCCTGTACAAAGAGTCAGTGTCATACGGTGGGAAGAGTATTGGATTTTGAGTCAAAGGGTTTTAATCCCAGCTCTGACACTTCCTACCTCTGTATCCTTGGACAGGGCATTTAATCTTTCTGGGCCTCAGTTTCTTTAATTGTAGAATGAGGTGATTGTTTCAGGGAAGGGAAACCCGCAGCCTTGAGACCACATTTGGCCTTCTAGGTCCTTGGGTGCAGCCTTTTGACTGAGTCCAAGTTTTATAGGACAAATCCTTTTATTAGGGGTATTTGTGAAGTTTGGATTCAGTCAGAGGGCTGGACTTGAGGACCTAGAGGGCCACCTGTGGCCTTGAGGCTACGGGTTCCCCACCCCTACTGACTTCTAAGGAACTTAACATCTATGATGTTATGACATTCAAAGATAAATATGCAATTATCTTATTTATGAAGAAATTCACAGCTTTATAGTATGAATATATATATATATATATAAAATTATAGTATGAAAATGTGGCACCTTTAATTCTCCTGAAAATAAACTTGTTATTGCCTTATTAGGAAAAAATTTTTTTTGGAGTGCTTTAGGCAACAACCTTGCAGGGATAGTGATGATTCTTAGCTAATCATTTCATTGTCATGTGATCCCACTGGCATGGTTTCTTGGTTTACCTGCTGTGTGTCCCAAATTAAGGATCTGGATAGAAACAAACAAACAACCCCCCCCCCCCCAAAACAAACAAACAGAGGTTAAATCTGAATAAGGCAGACACAAGCCTGAGTGGGGTTATTGGGAGGAGAAATATTTCTCTTGGACAAGAAATTTACCCCTTCATGCTTCTATTATACAGTAGACAGGGTGCTGGACTTACTGTCAAAGGACCTGAGTTTAAATTCTACCCCTCACTTACTGCCTTTGAAACCTTGGACAAATCATTTACCTTCTCTGGGTCTCAGTTTCTTCATCTGTAAAAAGAAGGAATTAGACTAGACCAGGGGTGGGGAACTTGAGACCTCGAGGCCACATGTGGCCCTCTAGGTCCTCAAGTGTGACCCTTTGACTGAATCCAAATTTCACAGAACAAATCCCCTTAATAAAAGGATTTGTTCTATAAAACTTAGACTCAGTCAAAAGGCTACACCAAGGACCTGAAAGGTCACATGTGGTTTCGAGGCTGCAAGTTCCCCACCCTTGGCACTAGACTAATGTCCCTTCTATCTCTAAATCCTATAATCGTGTGGGCTTATGATCCTTCATGATTGAGGAAAGCTCTCTTAAGTATTACCACATTAGGGTACTTGCACAGAACGCAATCTGAGACTTTTAGGGAAGTGATGCATAGTGGAAAAAATGCAAGTCAGGGAGTCAGGAAACTAGGGCTCAAGACTCCATTCAACAACCAACTAGTTGCTTAGACAAATTGCTTAATCTCTCTGGCCTTAAGTTTTCTCATCTGTGAAATGGAGATGACAACACTTGTCCTACAAATGACTGTGCGGATCAAATAATACAACAATTTTAAAGATTTCAACAACAGATGATAAAATGCTTTGTTAGGTTAAAAAGACTATACAAAAGTCTGGTGTTATTATCATTGCAATCTGTAGAACTTCTACTTTTAGCTTAGTGTCACTCAATGAGAAGGATGGTATGAGTATAATTTCTTTTCCTGGTTTTTGAATTATTCGTACATTTAAATGATTAGAATATGCCTTGAGGTCTCCCAGCAAAAAGCCAATTTAAACAGAATCTAACGAAAAAACTGAAGTGGTGGTGTTAGGGAATGTAATAGCTGTAATGAGTAAATATTGATCAGTTGTGCTTTGCTTTACAGCCTGGAATCCCATCCACTGCCAGCATATTGAATGCCATAATGCAATTAACAAACCAGCGGTGAAGGTACTGTTTTCTTTGACTAGGGGCCATATTTTTCTGCCAGTGGTCAAATTACTGGAAGCAAATTACTCTATGAAATAGAGCAGAATATAGCCGTTCTCTTCTGAAATTTGTAGGCTTGTGCTCTGCAGAAACTTTGCCTCTCTCCATAAACTTTCTCTCTCACACTATATTCAACTTTTGCTGCAAGTTGATTGGAGCTTGGCAAATTAGATTAAGATAGAGCATGGAATAGTAAAATCTGTAGGTATTGATAAAGACTTTACAGCAAAATAGTGGAGAGAGAGGATAATTATCACAATTATCCCATTGCAAACACTTGTCTTGGACTTTGCAGGTTTTTGCCTTAGTTATTATGATTATTATAAATTAAATACTTACTGGATGTCGCATTTTTAGGTAGGGGATTGACTAACTGGAGTGCATCCAGGTTGGTGAGAAGATTTCAAAAAATGTCATATAAGGACTGGTTGAAGGAATCAATGATGTTTCATGTGAAAAATTAAAGACTTTGAGGATGGGGTGGAGTGAGGCTGTAATGTGATTACACTCATCAAGTATTTTAAAGTTTGCTGTATAGGAGAGGGATCAGAGTTGCTTTTCTTGGTCTAAGAAAGCCGAAATAGGACCAATAAATGAAAGCTATGAAAGTATTATGGGTTACCATGTAGTGACTTCTCATCATTGGCAGTCTTCAAATGAAGGCTAAGTAGCTAGTTGTCATGGATATTGTAGAGGAGGGTTCATGCTTCCAATGGGGAGTGACCAAATTATCTCAGAGGCTTCTTCTAAGATTTTGTGAATTCACATTTTTGATTACAGATGGGGTAAGTTCCACTCTATTCCTCAGATTTTTAATGAACACTTGCCTTGTCTAAGGTGTTGTGCTAGAAATACAAAGATAAAAAAGTGATCTAGTTCTTGCCCTTCAGGAGCTCACTATCTAGGGTGACATGTACACCAATAACATACTTAAGAGTTGGTATGGCCTAAAGGATTTCAAGGAAGGAGAGATCACTTTTAGCTGAACAGGTTTCATAGAGAAGGCTGCATTTGAGGTAGCCCTTCAAGGAAGAGAAGAATATCAGTAAGATAAGGAGCAATTTTTTCCTGGCATGGGAAGAAAATGTATAGAGGGATGGAGGAAGGAGAAGTCAGGCTGAGATCAGGGAAGCATGATTTTTCCTTGTTACCATGTTTGTTTCAAGGTGAGATGACTGCAATGTTGTTATGTAAATCCAAGGAGCATAAGCAATAAATAGTTGCATCTTGCTTAAAGAATATAGTTATGATTTATGATAAGTAACTGAGATGTAGTGGGAGAGCAATGATGATGAGATTATTGGTTTGAAAGGAATAGTAGGAAATGGAGGAGAAGAAAGCACTGATTCTTTGTATATAAATGATAAACTCACTCATTAACTCAACAAGCACTTATTATTTACATATTATGTACAGGGCAATGTGCTAGTTTCTGGGCAAGAGACAAAGATAATTATTTTCTATCTATCTATCTATCTATCTGTCTGTCTGTTTATCTATCTATCTATCTATCCACACACACATTTAGTGGCTGCCCTTAGGGAGGTTCTAATCTAGTAGGAGAAGAAGAAATATACACAAATAACATGGACTATTTGTGCCCAATCTGTGGTAGAACATTGCAGACTGTAACTTGACTGTAGCAGAGTAATGTCATTTTGGTCCTCTTCGAGAATGAAGGCCAACAACCAACCAACCAACCAACTAACCAACCAACCAACCGATATAATTTATATAACTTAGAATAAATTCTTAAGAGGAATAGAAGGTGTTATGGGGTCAAATGTCAAATAAATCACTTTTCACTGGACAGAGTGAGAAAGCTTCATGTAGGATGTGTAGGAAGTGTAAGAAACTAAAGGAAACCAACTGATAAAAATGATTAGATTATAATGAAAAGAGCAAAATTGAGGAGAATAGCACTGCAAGATTATAATAAATGCTGTTTTATCTTGCCCAGTCAAGAAGTTAGATGAAACCTTTGTGCATGATCATACCTCTTTTGTAGATCCTGAACATACTTCCACAGTAGCTCTTCTAAACTTTTGTGATTTTCGTGTCCACAACTGTACCTGATGCCTCTTATTCTGAGCAAATGACTTTGTATCCTACATTAATTGGGAAGTTGTAGAAGGAATTCATGTTTTAGGTAAGGCTTGGACTTTGTGACCTGTAAGGTCATGATTTTCAAAAATTCTATGATTCAAGGATTAAAAAAAACCTTACTTCTCAGTTTATTCTCTTTTTAATTTGTTTATTTTTAAGCAATTAAAAAAATTTAATCTGCCCCTCCCACTATCTCATCTCCCCCATTAAGCAAATTAAAAAAAAAACCCAACAACAATAAATGCCTAAATACATATCTACGTAATCTGGCAAAACAATTTCCACATTAGCCATGTACAGAAATGTTTGTCTCTTGCTACATTTTTTCTTTTAAATGTATTTTATTTTTTGTAATTACATATAATGACAATTTTAAACATTCGTTCTTATTAAAACTTCAAGTTCCAAATTTTCTCCCTTCCTCCCTCTTTCCTCTTCCCTAAGATGGTAAGCAATTTGATATGGGTGATAATATGTTCTTGCTACATTTTAAGTTTATTACGGTCAAGTTTCATTTTTGTCAGGAGATTAGTTCTACCTCTTCATTTTTTGTACTCTTGGTTTTTCATTTAATTTCATTAATCAGTATTCTAAAGTCTTTCAAAGTAGTTTTTTCTCTGTAATGTTGTCACCATTATATAAATTGTTTTCCTGATTCTGTCCACTTAGCTCTGCATCAGTTCATAAAGGTCTTACCAATTTCCTCTGAAATTGTCCATTTTATCTTTTTTTTTATGGCACAACAATATTCCATTATATTCATACCACAGTGTTTTTAGCCATTCCCCAGTAGGAGGATACCCCTTTAGTTTCTAATTTGTGGCTACCAAGAAAAGAGCTGCTATAAATATTTTTGTACACATAGAACTTTTCTACCTTTTTTTTGATTTCTTTAGGTGTAGAACCAGCAGTGTGTATAGCTGGGTGAAAGGATATACACAGTTTGATAACTTTTTGGGCATAGTTCCAAATTGCTTTCCAGAATAGTTGAACCAATTTATAGTTCCACAAATAGCACACTGGAGTACCTGTTCTCCCACAGTCCCTCCAATGTTTGTCATTTCCTTCTTTTATTATCTTTGCCAATCTGATAGCTGTGAGGTGGAATCTCAGAGTTGATTTAATTTGCATTTATCTAATTATTAGTGATGTAGAGCTTTTTTTTCATATGATTGTTGATAGCTTGGATTTTTTCCTTTGAAAAATTGCCTGTTCATGTCCTTTGACCATTTATTTATTGGGAAATGGCTTCAGGTTTTTTTTAATTCTGTCTCTATACTCACTGTTTCCTCCTTTCCTTAAGTATTGCAATGCTCTCTCTCTTCATAATAATATCTCTTCTAAATATCTGAAGGATCTTACATCTACCTTTATTCTACCCACTTAAACATCTTGGGTGTTCTCCAGTGACTCATTATCTTCTGTTTTCAGACAGACGGGGGTATTCCCCTTCTAGAGAAAACCTTTATTTGATCCTGTTGCCCCCCTGTAACACTATGTTTATCTCCATCCTTTTGCTGCCAGTCTTTTGGAATGAGGGGTTTGTAGCCACTGCCTACATTTTATTATCCTGTATTAACTGTTTAGCTCCCTACTGTTTGACTTCTAAATCCCCCCCAACAACTGATGCTGTTTAGAAGTATATTTTCACTGATATCTTTTTTTCATCACTTGTATTTCTCCTCCCCCACAAAGACTCATTCCTTAATAAAGTATGAAGAAAGGAAGAGAAAAAAGTTCCATGAAGCTCAGCCTTATATTAAAAGAGCCTGACTTTATTTGCAGTATTTGACACACATGGTCTGTACTTTTGCAAAAGAGGCAAGGGAAGTGTCTTTGCATATCTGTTCTTTAGGTACAACTTTGGTCATTATGTTTTCATAGCATTTGGTTTTGCCAGTCTACTGTTCAAGATCAATAATGATTTTGTTAAACCTAATAGCTTTTTTTTCTTCTTTATTCTACTTGACTTCTCTGCAGAATCTGAAGCTGTTGATTATTACACTTGCTTGAAACTTCTTCCACTCTTGTCTTCCTGGTACTTCTCCCTTTTGTTGTTCTTTCTCAATGCTATCTTTACATTCATACCCATAGGCATTCCATAGAGCTCAATTCTTGGTCCTCTGTCCTCATAAAACTCAAGTTAATGGAAATATTCTCTTGCTCCTCACCTGGATGCCTTTTTCATCACTGTGCATTGCTTGTTATCATTTCTCCCAAATTCTCTCTATTCCTACCTACTCCAAACTCCCCATTTAAAAGGATATATGGGATTTTAGAGCTGGAAAGGACCTTAGAGATCATGTAGTTCAATCCCCTTAATTTAAAAATGAGGAAACAGAAGCACAGAGAAGTAAGAATGACTTGCCTGGGATCATATCACTAGTCAGTGTCCAGAGCCACAATACATTCCTAGCTCCTATGATTCTAAATCCAATGCCTCTTCCATTGCATCATGTTGTTCCCTCCTCCCTTTTTTTAATGATACCACTCTTTTCCTACATACTCATGATGAAAATCTTAGTGTCATCTTGTATTCTTTTCTTTCCTTCATTAGCTATATCTAAGTCAATAACCAGAGTCAAAATGGCAGAAAGACTAGAGACTGATGTTGAAGCCACAAAACTCTGGATTCAAGTCCTACTTCTGACATCTATTGGCTGTGTGGCCCTGAGCTTAACATTTATCCTTTCAGTGTCTCGTGGCAGCTCTCCAAGACTTTAAAAGTTGTAGAAAGTGCTACCTTAGTTGGGGGGGGGAGTTTCTTCACCTGGGAGTTCCCTATTATTATCAAAATCACAAGTCTAGTCCCTATCACTAATGAGTCAATCAACATTTATTAAGTACCTACTATG